GGGGAGCAGACACCTCGCCCAAGGGAGAAGAAAACGAATGAAAAGTCTTGGGCAGAGGATTGATTCCGTGTTGGAATCACCAATAAGCCTGTGTAATAACTACTATTGGTGTTTTTCCCGACATAAATTATAGAAAATTTTCTATACTATCCGTGGAGAAAGCAAGCAGTTGGGGAGAAGAGGAGTTCAAAATAAATATTTCCTTTGCTAACGAACTAGGAGACAGGCTGGACCTCCGCGAATCGTTCTGGAGAAAGTGAGAATCATCTTGAACTTGAGAACTCTGCTGCTGCGGTGGCTGCTACTGCTACTAAAGCTGCTTTGGCTTCCGCTTTCAGAGTTGGAAGCAAAGTAAATGTTTCTTTCTTGGTTTTATGTGTAATACCAGTGTTTGATGCTATACTTCGAATATTTCAGTAGTCCGGTGCCACAAAATAGTAACAATCACCCTTGATTTCCAGGTCCAGGGCAGCGCGGGCATTTGATACCAAGGACCTCCTTGCTTCCCTAAAGTTGGTTGTCACCTTCTGGCCTCCCCATCGCTGCCCTGCTCCCCTCTCGCTGCAGCTCAGCCTGCCATTTTCACACACTCACTTAAACCTACAACCTCTGGGGTCACAAGAAGGAGGAAAAGGACAACTGCGCATGCACACACGCGCCCTAAAAGTTTACATTGCTGAAATTTGCTTTAATTACAGGATTTACCAAGGAAGTGGACATGCAGACGGCTGTGGGGGGTACTCCTGTAGGAGTTAGATGTGTTCAAAGTATGAATCACTCCCAAATTCGTATAGATTTTCTCTTGGTACAACATCCTTCCATTAAACACTTTTGTTCAATGCTTTCTATGCGCTATTTGTATTCCCATTAATATCGGTTGCAAATCCTGCCAGTCACTATAAAAGAAAATTACAATGTTTTCAATCTCTGTGCTACAACAATACATCTTTGATGCTCAAGTTAAAGGAAAAGAAAAAGGAAAGCAGGTCTCAAGGCATGGGATACCAAAGATGGGAGAAGAAGCTGGATCATTGAGAATGCCCAATTGCACCTGTTGGCATTAATGGTCAAAACTAGGACCAGGAGTGTGAAAGAGCTGGTAACAAGATTCAACACAAATAATCACAATTTAAGGGATTCCACTCTGACTAAAGGTGCCTATCATTTTTTTTCTCTCTCTCCAGAGCTGTGTAATTCTAGTAGCATTTGGCTGTAAGATACAGATCCCTGAAGAAACAAGCTACAGGTCCCAAGAGAGACAGATGTGTAAACCTGAAATGTGAGGAAGGGAAGGGGGAAGTAAGAGGGGGAATTATACAAAGCAGGAGTGAAACAACTTCTGAAAGAGAAGGCTCTGGTGCCCACACAGACTAAAACTCTGTCATCTCCCTGTACTAAAGGGGCACATGGGGTTATTTACAAAACTGCCACTCTTGGTGCTTTGCGCATATAGGTGAGCATGCTTACCCGTTTGATGTTTGCAAAAGCACCAGCCACCGCACCATTTTGTGTGGGTCCTCAGAGGTCTACAGCTCTCAAACTCCCCCCGAAAAACAAATGTATCAGTTCCTCTCAGTTTAGGTGGAGTGCCCTCCTTCTGACCAGTAAATCTGGGAGGCTTGAGAGTCTCTGGAAAGGATACAAAATCTTTAGGAAAACACACTAGGCTGGTGGGCAAGAAGTTCTTACAGGTGATCTGGTCAGTGTGAGGGACTCTGGGGAGCACTGCTCAGAAGACCCATGAGGCACTGGACAGTTCTATCTGTCCGAACATAAAGGGCTTTGCCCTCTGCAAGGAAGGGAGGTGGAGTCCCCCAAGACCTGGCACCCAAGCTGCCCTGGTGAGCAGGAAGTTCTGCCTGGGATTTTTCATTTCAACGTCCCATCCTGAGGAGCTTTTAAAAAGAAGAAGAAGCTGCCCTCCTTCCCTAGGCACCTTCTGTTAATTCCTGGCACGCCACCCCCCAGGGGGTCCGTCTATATTTGGGTTCCCTTGGAAAGGAGTAGAGGTCTGGGGGAAATTCCTAGGAAAGGAAAGGATCATGGAGCCAAACCCTGAGATTAAATATAAGACCTACATGCGAAACTGGGCTTCTTGTTTCTGCTGAGAAATTGCACACCACGTGGTGGGCTGGAGGGGGGTTGTGAAGGGAGCTAGATGAGGTGGAAGACAGAGTAAATCAAATCAGAGTCTCTGACCCCCAAATGTAAAGGTCCTAGTCTTTTACATTTCCCTAGAAAGGCTTGGGGGTGAGAGCGAGGTGCGGGCAGAGCACCCTTCCTTTTGGTTTTTAAAATCCCCGGATTCAGTATAGGAGTCTTTCTCCCTGGTCTTTCTAAGGTTTTGGAACGCTAGACAATCCGAGCTCATCTAACTGAAATAATAAACACAAAGTCTTCTGTATCCCCAGGCTAAAGCATTGTGAAAAGACAAGGCATCAGTCTTTCTTTTAAAAAATAAATACAAGTATTCACAATACCATCACTTTTAAATTTTCAAACCTGAAAGCTGGGTTTCTTTTCCTTTTTCTCTTTCTTTTTCCTTTCTCTCTTCTTTTCCTTTCTCAAGAACTTGTTTTCTGCCCTAAGTGTGAGTTAATAAAAGGGCTAGGTTACTAGTTCCCGTGTGTTTATCCTAACGAAGCAAACGCCCAAGAACAACCGCAGCGCACTCTGGCTGCAGCGCCGGGGCTCCTGCGCGTCGATCCGGCCGGCTCCCATTCCCAAGGGCCTGGCCCCGTCAGTTCCACCTGTCCCCAGTCCCACCGGTGAGATCCGAGCAGGTGACCTTGTGTTGGGGCCCCTGGAGTTCCCGACACCTTCTGACGGATCGTCTAAACTATCGCTGGCCCAAAAGAAAAGAGGCCTCTAACAAGTTGTCCAAGCTGCCTTCACCGCCTGCCCCCTACCTTCCTCCTGTCCTTCCCCTCCTGAAATTCGTTTCCTTGGGAATAGGGAGAAGTCGCTTAGGTCCTAACGTCTTCTCGCGTTTCCTCCCGACGAAGCTACCCTCCTAGAAACATCCCCTTTTTGGAAAGTCGTTGAGTTTACTGGCAGTTTGGGTTTGCTTGGTTTTGGGTTTTGGTTTGTTTGTTTTTTGTTTTGAGGAGTAATTGGGAGGTCTAGATGGAAGTTGGGAGCAAGATGTGTCGCTGAAGAGGAAGAGGGACAAGAGTCTCCCTCCTCCAACCATGTTCAATTACAGCTAGAAACGGCAGAGAACCGATTTTCAGTGCATTACTTCCAACAGGACGTTTTCCTTTCCTCGCACAATAACGGAGCTAGCCCCACAGTATCTTTGGAAGAAAGTTTGAATTCTTTATAGAGGTATTTCTTGGCCTATTGTCTTTGTGCAGTGAACTTTACATCGTGCTACTCAGTCGCAACCTATATTCTACTGGCTACCAGCGAGATTAATTTAATCATTGTAATGCAATTATTAATAGTTTACCCAACGCTGGGTTTCAGGTTGGCTGTTAAGAAATTAAAATCTTGCTGGGTGACCAGAGCGAGGCAGGGGTTTCTTCATGTTGAAATGAAACAGTCCTCTGTATTTAGTCTCAGAGCTCCAGCTTTTGGCCACGGGCTCAATTAGCCAAAATGGAAACAATTTTCATTCATTGCAATAACTCACTGTTCTAGAGATCGCTTTCAAAATATACACTTTATTATTATACGCTGACCTTGGTGGCGTGGAGTGGCAATAAAAGAAAGAGGCAGGGAGATCTATCTAGCCCCCTTGGGCTATAATTATTAGAAATTAATTG